CCCCAAAACCCCAAAACCCCAAAACCCCAAGATTCAGAAATATCATTGAAGCTGACTTATTTGTAGCTGAGCACGAGTTGGAACAAGTAGTTGAGGTCTTCGCCTGTGTTCGGAGTGTCGATGCTTTCCACATAAATTCTGAGTTTGTCAAGGAACTCCATGCTTTCTTTGGAGTCATCTTTCAAGTTCATGTCTCTGCTGATGATTTCTTTGATGTTCCATGCAATTTTCTTGAGCTCGTCTTCAATGATTTTAAGTGAGTTTTCTTTAACTTCTTGGTAGTCATATACAAACCAGTATCTGAATGTTTCCCAGAGGTAATGAACAAGGCCTCCATCCATGTCTCCGACTTCGAGCGGGTTCACCGAAGTCTCCTGTTCGAGTCCAGGAGTCGTATTGTCTTTCTCGTCGAAATCGAAGAACTTGGCTCTGTTTGTGGTTTGCTTGGTTTCTTCGAGTCGAGCCCTTCTGGCTTGTTCAGCCTGCTCTTCTTCTAAGCTGTCTTTAAAGTGGTTATTTCAGAATCAGTAAATTCTGGTATATGAAGAAGTAGTGTTCGATCTTAGCATCAGGAGAGTTGAAGCATTGTATGCTTCTGATGATGATGGCGACTAGTTCATTTATCACATTTTTGTAGACTGAGTCGCTGACTCGTTTCTCAAGTTTTTCAACAAGTTCCATACCTTTGTTAATCATTTCAAGCCTGAAGCTTCCCCAGAGAACAATATTATTGACGCTAAGAGCGCTTCTCTTCTTGACCATCATTTCAATTTTGTCATTGATTGGGGATTCCTATTCAGATATTTTAGGATACTTTAGGATTTAATAGAAAATGTTAGGAAATGCTAGAAAAAGAGCAGATAACTTACATCCCCATCTTGGGAGGCTATGGTCTTGTTGGCTTCATAGCTTTTCATGATCTGGTCTGTGAACTTGACGACTTCTTCTCCAATATTCTCAGCATGATCAAAGAAGTCCAGGAATTTGTAATGAGCAAGAGTGGACAACTTCTCATCAATCGACTTCTGAAGTTTTACAATGAATGTTTGTGTGATGTTGGTTCGGTGAGCGTCAGAGTGAGCCCTGCCAATGACTTTGCGTTTGCTTCTGTTGTTGAGTGACCTCTCCATCAAGTCAGCTGAGATATCGCTGCTGAGTGCAATCTCTTCGAAAGATTGTTCTCTCTGAATCATCTGCTGCAGAAACTGCAATACAGACTCTTCAATAAAGAACTGGAACTCATGGTACTTCTTAGGCACCATTGCGAAATGAGCGTAGAAAAAGGTAGACTCCTGACTCAGCAAAGTCTTCAGATAAGTCAACAACGAAGAGAATGTCTGGGACAAACTGTACGATTCGTCATAGTAAACGTAGAGGTCATCGAGCAAATACGTGAGCAAGGCCTGACGCTTGCTGAGGTAGTACTCGTAGATCCTGTCGATTTCGGCTCCCTTTTCTTCTTCCAAGTAAACAATGACTTCTTTGACTTTGAAGTACCTTCAGCTAGACTGGGTATAATACAACAGGTCCAAGTCGATGTCTGCAATGGTCTTGACCATTGAGTTGTCGGGAGCCTCTTCGTTGGACTTGACATACTCCAGAACTTTCAAGAAATTGACCAAGATCTTGTCGTGGGTCTCTCTGAGTCACTCCAGAATGTGCTTCACGATGAAGTTGATGGTGTTGTTGTAAAGAGTCTGGTACCGTTCTCGGTAGGTCTCGCTGCCTTTGTAGTCAAAGTTCCTTTTGAAGTATTTCAGAGAATGGTTGATCTTGCTTACAAAGCTCAAGAAGGCTTTCGGGTCCTCTTCAAGGTTCTCCATGACTTGGTTCGACTCTTTAGTCAGTTCATCATAACTCATGTAGTATGCAAGGTTAGCTTCGAACCCATTGATGAGTTTGGTGAGGTTGTTGTTCTTCTTGACGTAGAACACACATGTGTCTCTGAAGCCTTTGGTGGTTTCGAACAAGTTCTTCTCCGAAGTATCCACTTTCTTCATGTGCACTTGGATTGATTTGTTGATCTATAAATTACACACTGAGCTACTTTTGAAGTATCTTTCCAGGTGTTGATGATTTGTCCAGACTGGTCTAGCGCTTTGATTTTTTGTGCTTTTCTGTCATTTTGCTGTTGGACTTCTTCATCAATGGTAGTCTGTTTGCTTTCTTCCTTTGGTTCTACCTTTGCGTCTATAAAGCCAGTTATTGGAGTTCAGGAATTTGATTTTCAAATATCCATTTTATTGATTTACCCTGAGAATGTTGGCTTTTTGATTCTTCAGCTTGTGGTTGCTTTTGAAGTCTAAAGTAAGATTTAGATGCCTACCCAAAATCGGTAAAAGACCCTCAGACATTGGATAGTTCTTTGATGAAGGCTGAAAGAGCTTTTCGTTCTTCTCTAGTTAAGGCAGTGCTTTCGTTCCAATCTTTCATTTAATTATTTTATTAATCACAACGAAAAATGCAAGAATTGGGGTTTTGGGGTTTTGGGGTTTTGGGG